TAGCAGTAGCAGTAGCGTAGGAGTAGTAGTCGTCGTCGTCGTCGTATTATTATTAGTGGTAGTGGTAGTGGCAGTAGCCACTGCTGCTGCTGCTGCTGCTGTGGCAGTTGCTGTTGCTGCTTGTAACATTGTAGTAGTCGGCGCATTGTGCCTAGATAGTCGCGAGTCACGTAACTTCACCATCCAATCACCCGCACCATCGTCCTCAGAATCATGGCCATCTCTATCGCCATCATCAAAAAATCCTCAGCATCATCACGGGCAGTCTGATCGTCATCATCACCCGCACCAGGAAGGTCATCATCACTATACTCCTTGCACCTGGCACATAGCTACAGCTAGTGTCATTAGAACACTGATGATGGCATCAACACTGGTGCAGCAGCTCGTGGTGGCGGTGGTGATTGTGGTGGTGGTGCTGCTGCTGCTGATGCTGCTCCTGAAGACCGCAGCATTTCTACTGCTACCCGTCTCAATACTGCTACCACGACTCCTGCCAAGCTGTCAAGACGACAATTCATCAAACTGAGTCATACCTCATGGTCGTTACTACACATTCTCACCCCTTAGCCTAGCGAGCAAGCCAACAAGACCACCACTGCGACCCGATCGGGACAGCCGAGATATCTTCCTGCCAAATGTTTGTGTTTGGGCTTGGAGCACAAGCCCTCTACTCAAACTTTGCGTGCCATAACTTGCGGCCGTGCTGCCGACGATCGTCAGCATAATCGCGACCAGGACCACACCGGCCTGTTTGGCATCTTGTCGCTGCATTCTACAGGAACCAGAGTCAGATCGCAGGAATTGCTACTGGTATCAATGCTTGGGATCTCTGCCCCGCACTGAATGACCAACGACAACACTAAGCCCATCCGACGGCAAGTGCGTGTTGACTCGTCCTGCCAGGAAACCATGGGCAGAAAAGCAGCCCGAACGGCTGCTTCTCGGATGGTTGCTTCTGGATTTACCAACCCTAAACCCTAAACCCCCTCCTGTGGCCTCTAACGCCAGCCTGGGGCTTCAAAGGCCTCTGGAAGGCACCGAAGCAACTCTAGCAAGCTGGTGGAAAGCCTCGAAGCCCGGAATTCCCAAGCTCCACCCCGGCTCCCAATTCATGGGCAGTCCTAGTGATAGTAATTGTAACAATGACAATGATCACGTAGCAAACAACAGCAGAAAGATAGGCAAGAAATGGAACAATGACAAGTATCGCTCCAAAAACCGTTGCCGAGCGCCAGGCGTAGAAGGTGCAGATTGCCACAAGTCGGCCGGCTGTGGTCGTTGGCACGTCATCACCTGACAGGCTTTAGGGTTTAAGGTTTAGGGTTTCGACACCTGTCCAACACAGACCCGGCCATGGGCTCCAATCTGTCTCGGCTTGGTGGATGGGAGTTCTCGCTGTGCTCTGAGCAACTGGATGTCATTTTTCGGGATTTTGATATGGGGCTGCCTGGCAGCATCTCTTTGGGAGAGTACCCACAAACAGAATGCGTGCAATTCGGATGGTGGCACCGTCTCGAAGCACGGATCTGAATTAGCTGCCAGGGGGCATGCCCGGAATCTAAGGGTCTTCTCAAGGGCCCTTGCAGCGGACGCTGTTTTTAAGGACACATGCAGCACACGGGTCCAAATCCGACCGATCCAGCTTTGACAAGGCCGAAGAACAGCTCTCATCAGCTTCCATGCAGAGGGCCGTCGTACTACCAAGAGCAGCACAGCACAAACCAAAAGCAGTGCCCCATCTCTGAACAGCTGCGGGAAACTTATCGCAGCCTGCAAGGTGCCTTGCAAAAGATGCACCACCTCTGTGTGGCCATTTAGTTTCGCGACATGCAAGGGCATGTCGGCGACCCTACCTTTGTGCCTGTCAGCACCGGCTTGCAGCAACAACTGTACAGTATCCACGTGTCCCCTTGAAGCTGCTGCGTACAGCGGCGTTTCTCTTCCATTGCCTCTGTTGACGTCAGCACGTGAGTTCAGCAGGCAGCGTGTGGCCTCAGCATGACCTTTCAAAGAAGCGACATAAAGAGGTGTCTCTGTTTCAGTTCCGACGTCCTCGTCGGTACCAGCCTCTAATACAAGCTGCACAATCTGAGTGTGGCCTGCGGAGCAAGCCACAAACAAAGGTGTTCCTGCAAGGGTGGCCTCATGCTGGTCAGCACCGGCCTTCAACAGAAGTTGCACAACTTCCAGGTGACCCTGGCCAGATGCAACGAAGAGCGGTGTGCCGACTGGCAGCGATCGTCTTGGGGATGTACTGTGAAACTTGAACCTAGTTTCTTCAAAGTGTAGGTAGCTTTCGTCGGCTCCGGCTTCCAGCAACCGCCTCACAAGTTCAATGCGACCTTGCGAAGATGCATAGTAAAGACATCGGCCTGTGGCAGGGCCACCAGCATCCAAGAGCAGATTCACAAGTTGAAAGTCAGCGTGTGCAACGTCAGCAATCTCCTCGGTCACAGAAGCACGGGCTTCCAGCAGCAGGCTTACCATCTCCACATCCCGGTTCTCGACTGCTGCAAGGAGTGGCCTGGCTGAGATACAGGGCAACTGCAATATCCGGTCGTCCTGCACAGCCAAATCGGGATCCTGTGGACGCTTCAGGACGTCCTCGACTCTTCATGCGTAGTATCAGTCGCGGCTAGAAGAAAGGAGCCACAGCTACAATTGCCATGTATACAACCCGAGTTCAAAGACCTGTAAGCCCTCCTTTGAACTCTTCATCTGAGCCCTTGAAGTCCTCAACTTCCAACAGGCTGCCACGCTTTGCCAGGTCTACGAGCTCTTCGACTTGCCTGAGCTTTCACCCGGAATTAAAGGCTTTTGGGGGGACTAGGGTTAAGCATTTTTTTTTAGGAGGGGGGGAGGAGAAGCTTATGAAGGGCTACTCTGTGCTATCGTTCCCCCGTGAAGACAGATTCTACGAAACCACTGTTTGGAGATACTTGCAAGCATGAAAAAACGATTTAAACGACTTGTCCATCTTAGCTGCCCGGTAGCTCTGGTGTGGAGTTGCAGAAGGGAAGCAGTACGATTTGGAGGTCCAGGCCTGCGACCAACCTGACACCAAGACTCCCAGCGCTAGGTGCGAAAGCCTATCTGCCTTTACCCACAGCCTTGAATCCTCCCAGAACCTAGATTTCCGTTTCTAGAACTTCCGCAAATCGAGTCTACGAGCTCTAAAGGATGAGACACCCGAGCGGTTTTTCATTCGAGAAGCTTGGCGGGAAGCCAAGCTTCAGACTCGACCTGTGCTCCCTCGTGTCTCCTTATGACAGCGCCGCCTTGCATCATCAGCCAGGCTGCTGCCGTTACAGAGGAGTCTCTGTCTGAAACGTGGCAACCCGTGGAATCGCTGAAGATGCCGCTTCAGGGAAGGCACATCCGACTGCTCCTCCGCAGGCAGCGCAGCCAGCTCCTCTCCCGAAACGGTCCAGACTCGCAGCATGTCCACATTGCATGCTGGCAGGGGCAAGCACCTGCAGAAGCCACGATGGCCCTCACTGTTGCGGTCTGAGCCAGGCGATGGAGTCAAACATATCGCGAACATCTGCAGAGTTGCGGAAAGGATTCTTCTGCTGCAGCCTCCCCTGCTATTGCTCCCAAAGTGGCTGACTGCTTAAGAAACAAGAGAAGCAAAACTCACGGCACATGCCTGATGTCCTCAACTGCTCAGGTTCCGACCGTACCCGACGGTTGTGGCAGTCGTGAAGAACCACCAGAAGGCATGAAGAATCGATCTGGCTTCTGGTGCGTATCTATGGCGGATTCGGGTGGTCTTACATGACTGCCGCTTAATTATGCTTGCAAAGCCCAGGATGAGTCCACGATCTCGGCTTTTGCATGCCTGCAGTTTCGGGGCAAGGAGTTGCAGTGTGCTAGGCCCGCTGCGTGTGACTGGAAGTGGCAAGTTGTTGGATTCAGGCCTATGGTTTCCCGAGTGTGGTTTCGCTTCAGGACTGAACATTGTCCTTGGGCTTCCTTGACTCCTTGACTTTATTGACACGAGGCCTTGCTCCTGCTTCCCAGCTGAACCTTGTAGCAAGAAGTGGTTGCCTTTTGAAGATCGTATCAAACAGCCAGGCGTGCCTAAAGGGGGTCACCTCCATGCCGTACCCGTCGATCGTCGGTCTGCACGTGTAACAGGGGAGCTTCATCCAACTGGTATGTGCATCATCCCTTCTTGTTGGGTGCAGTGGCCCGGCAGCCCTGTGCAAACAGCAGCAAACTCTTCAGCACTAAAGCAGGTAAACAATGACAGGTAGTAGCAGCTGCTACATTAAGTTGATATCCTCGACCTGGTAGCTTGAGTCGTAGCTTATAAGTCTATGTCCCGCACCCGGCCTGACGTACACGCCATAGGGATACCTGCGCCAGTCGGATTACAGGGTGTAGTGCTCTGGCTGTCGGGCTGATGGTGCACTTTCAGAAACTAAGGCCGCCGATGCAGAACTCCAGAGGTCATCAACATGGCTTGTGATTCGTCAGAAAGATAGACGGCATGATGGTGTGGTATGCAGCAGGAGGCTGCACCACAGCTGTATCCAACGTACATCCATAGAACTACAGCGGCTCCAAGGGTAAAGCAGGATGCAACATTATTTCCAATATTTGTACTATCACTACTATTTAGTAGTAGTAGTAGTAGTAGTAGTAGCAGTAGTAGTAGTAGTAGTAGTACTACTACTACTACTACTAGTTCTACTACTGGTACTACCACTCCTGCTGCTGCTGCTACTACTACTACTACTACTACTACTACTACTAAACTACTACTACTGCTACCACTACCACTACCACTACCACTACCACTACCACTTCCACTTCCACTACCACTACCACTACCACTACCACTACCACTACCACTACCACTACGACTACTACTACTACTACTACTACTACTATTACTACTACTACTGTTACTACTTCCACTACTGCTACTACTACTATGACTGTGCGTGTGGCTTAAGTTAAGTTATAGATGTTACTAGGAGGTTAGACAAGTTATATAAAAAAGTTAACATAAGTTAACATAGGTTAACATAAGTTAGAAAAACGAGAAAGAGAATCTAAAACAAAAGAGATCAACAACAACAACTGAGACACAAAGATGCATGCCACCAGCACCAGCTCCAGCACCAACAACAGTGCCAACAACACCAAGGCAAACGACACCTGCAGCAGCAGCA